ACTTATTATATCTTACTTAGGGGTTGGTAATCATGTAATGGATCATACATTTAGAGTTTGGTCCACACAAGTTTTGCCACTCTTTGTAAACTTTGAGTGGCTAGACTTATTTTTAGTCTAGTACCGCACCTTAAACCTTATCTATGCTTAAGACCACATGCATTATTATGTCATTGTCATCATATGCATTTATGTGCAAAAACTATAGACTATATAGACCGACACAAATTTCCTTTAATTACGATTCTAGTTGTAGTTTTTTGGATGATTGACTTTGAGTTTTTATGGTTATATTGTTATATTTATGAGCATTTGCTTAGCTTTTATGATTGAGTTTTGTTGATGCATTTTGTCAAACGAGAACCGGTTCCACTCCTCCGTAAAACAAAATAAAAAATAAAAAAGAAATAAACAAAAAAATGAGAAAAAAGAGAACGGGAAAGGAGAAAGAATGGAACAGCAAAAGTCATTGTTTTTGGATTTAGATGCTTTAACATTGGGAAAAATGTCAAAAAAGTCATGAACTTTCAAATCGGAAGTTGCGGATTTAAACGTCCACAATTTGAAAGTTAAAGCATCTACTATACTTATGATTTTGATAGGGGTTTGATTTGGTTAACGTAATACGGTTAGGGTGATCTGAGTTAGTGGGAAGCTGTTTACATCCTAATTGGTCTATGTCTCACTATAAATTTGCATAATGATTTGCATCCATTTATATTGTTTAACCTTAAACACTTGAGCCACCTTAAACGATCTTCACACCTAGACCATAACATGTTCGATATCCTCTAAGTGAGACTGCACATAACTGCTAATGAATGTTAAAAGGTTAAGTTATTTGAGTCTGAAGTTCTTTGTGGTTTAGAGATCTCATGATGTCATGGTGAAGTACATTATTGTACGGTTGGATATAAACATTGTGTTAGTAGTTTTCAGGAAATAGTGGTTAAAGCCTCCCAGATGTAGCAAACCGGCTGTCGAGCCTTGTGAGAGGACGTGAGACCGATTAAAAGAGGTGGGCCCATGGGCTGAGAGTGAACATGGAGACCACTCGGAGAGGTGGGCCCATGGGCTGAGAGTGAGCAGGGAGACCACTCGGAGAGGTGAAAGTCGGGGCATTACAAGTGGTATCGGAGCGGAACCCAGATGTGTGTGGAGTAGTGGGCTCACACTCTTACAGGGTGACGGTCTTGGTGCACAACGAGAACGATGCGGTTTATTGGTGGGTTAGAATTGAACTGATTTGGCTATCTATGTTACCAAAGTGCACAGTTAAGCGTGCTTATGCTGGAGTAGTTGATAACTCTCTATTTTTACCTTCTTAAGCATACATTTTGTGCATAGTTTGCATAGTTTGAGTCATATTTCTTTGGAGTTTTAGTCTCTTTTCCTTCATATTGCACATTTAGGAGTTTTAGCATATGCATTTCCATTTTTTTGCATTTTGGAGTTAAAACAGGTACATTCGGATACTTCTGAACATTAAAAGACATGGACCCGATCGAGTGTGCCGGACCCAATCAAGGTGGATGATCGGCTCAAATTTACCCTGAGCTACTCTCTCAATTAAGAGATCACTGTAGTACTTAGGGATCGAATCCACAGAGACTCAACATTTACACAGTAAATATTCGGTATTAAAATTAAGCTAAGCAAGCGAGGTTTCAATATTAAAAACAGCAAATTAAAATAAAAATTGGTTTTTAAAACAATATGAGAAAACGCTAGGCTCATGGATATTCACAAAAAATTCAGAATTGCAAATAAATAATTGTCAGGATTTATAAAGCACCGTTCTTAAACTCAAATCACAAAAGTATAATCAATCAACTTTCGTTGCAAAGCATATTTATGTCTAGAACCCTAAAGTCCAAAATATCTTTGCAAATTTATAAGTTCAGACATGCATTTAATTCAGGTTTGATAAGTTCACAAAATCCCTAACCCAAATCTCTTTGCGAATAGGTATTTTGCTCATCAAGATTATTTTCAGGAAATCAATAACACTTTCGTGTCTACCAATTAACCTAAGATCAGATTATAGGTTGCTTTCACTACTCTAGAACAAATTAACCACAATCTAGATGAAGAACTCTATTGATTCAATCCTAACAATCTAACAACCTAACAATTCATGAATTCTTTTGAAAACCCTAAACCTAACAAGATATCTACTCAGACATGGTGAATGAAACAAACATCATGAATTAAAATAGATATCATAAAAGAAAGTAATAGAAGAAGTAAAGGAGTTCTGAATCTTTTGTGAAGGAGGTTTTGATTCTTCTCTCCCAGCTCTCTACAAATCTCTCTTTCCAAAATAAAACTTAAGTCTTAACAAAACCCTAAAAACTCAATATATATGTCTTAACCACGAACTAGGCTTAATTGCAAATAAGGAAAACTTCTGGGCCGAATCTGCAAATCTTCTGAACTTCAATTAAGCGTGAAATTCAATTGCCGTCAGATATTTGTGTCGATCGACACCAGAAGTTGTGACGCTCGACACTCACACCAAATATGCTCACCCGGTACGTTCCTTCGGCACATCTTCTCTAAATGCTCCAAAATGCTCCAAAAAGCTCCAATCCATGCCAAATAGCTCATAATCCTGAAATGACTGCAAAAGACTCGAAAACACTATAAAAGCTCTATAAATAAGACTTATATCATGGCCAAATACCCGTAAAAACCATGATTTATCAACTCCCCCAGACTTAGTCTTTGCTTGCTCTTTTTTTTTTTCTTTTTTTTCTGTTTTTTTTATAGCTCTCTTTTTTCTTATTCGGGTATCCATGAGATCCGAAGTATGTACGGGTTTACACGACATCCCTCATATCACTTCTACCTATAGCCTTTTCCACAATTTGTTTTAAAGGCAGAAGGGAAGAGAGAAGGAAGGAATCATACTTTGAAGAAGTGCAGTGTCTTGTGCGGCTCGAAGAAGAAGTCTAGTCCAATGTATTCCAACTCCCAAGGTAAGAAACTAAGTCCAATTAAGTCCTGATAAAAGTAGAGACAACGTTAGATCAACTGGATATCCAATGAATAAGGGCTTTCAGGATTGTTGATACAGCTCATAGTCGTTCCAAACTTCGGTTCTGAGATCAAGCATAAAAATGTAATCATAAGAGTGTTAATCCAAATCAGAGAAACCATTAGAATAAATTCATTGTTCCCTACAAAAATTTTGACTCAATAAAACACAAAAAAATAAAAATAAAAATTTGGACTGACTCGATAAAACTTCAAAAGAATAAACAATGTTAGTAACTACCTCCCCCAGACTTAAACAACAATGTCCCTAGTGTTACCAAGCCTAAAATTGGCAAATAAAAGAAAACAAAACTAAGAAAAATGCAAAAGAAATATAAAAACTCACAAGTAGGTTTCCTCCCACTAAACGCTTGTTTTTAGTCATTAGCTTGACTTTGTCGGGGCTCATGCGTCCGGTGGGTCGGGAAGCGGCAGTAAATACCTCCAAGAATAGTTTCTCATCATCCAAGGTGGTGTATAAGCATTAGGTGTATGAGATCGACCAAGTACACGAGGAGCACCAGCAAGACAAGAGCTAGGTATGGGTGGGACACTTCTTTTACCTACAACATCATCAAAAGAACCAACAAGCGCTCTACGATAATCTCGTGGCTTGGTTAACTACAAAACAGTCTTTGTACCTTTAGAATTATTTTTGATGATATGAGAAGATTTGGGTAAAGAAGATGCGTACCTTTTCTTTTCTCGAGGTCTCTGGAGTATGGGTGGTGAAGCTTTCCGATTCAGAACAGGGCTCAAGCTTGCAGCAGTAAGATCAACCGAAAAACCATTCGTTTTTGACCAGTTTGGACTATCGTGACGAGGGGTTTCGATCGACACACTGGTGGTGTCGAGCGACACTAAGCTTGCTGCTCGTGTTTCTGCACTATTTTTGCAATTCTTCTCAGCTATCCTCATCTCTAGCACAAAAACGTCATCCTCCAATAACTTATCAGTAGCTAGACCCTCGCTCTGGTCCGTAGTTCTAAATAGATGATCACTAGCAATAATGTCTTCTGAATACTCTATGACTGCCTTGTCATCCATGGCTTCCTCTACAGAAAAAGTATGGCCATCAATAGTAGGTGCTCTTCTTAACTTGTCCATGTCAAAGTTCATAACCAAATAACCCATATGCAGTCCAATCGTTCCCTTCTGAACATCTATAAGAGCACCAGTGGTAGCCAAGAAAGATCTCCCAAGGATAAGAGGATCCTGAGGTTCTTCGCAAGAATTATGCATTCACCAATCCTTATTAAAACATCATCTAAAAGACCTTCGGGAATTCTTTTGGACCTATCAGCTAGGATAAGAGAGATCCTAGTCAGCTTGAAATCTGTCAACCCAAGTCTCACAGCAACAAAGTATGGTATCAAGTTGATACCTGAGTCAAGATCACAAAGAGAGTGAGAAAATCTTTCTGTGAAGATAGAGCAGTCTAGCACGAAATTTCCTGGATCAGGTAACTTCTCTGTAATCTTGCTCTGAATCATGGCACTAACTTTTTCAGAAACAAACACTTTCTTCTTCTTCTCTTTCTTACTCTACGGGGTCTGTTTCAAGAAGATAACACCTATATCTCTAGCCAGCAAAGCTCCTTCCTCAGGGCTCACGTCATTTTGGACCATCCTCTTAACATACCGCTTAAGCATAGGTGAATCACGATCTGCATTATCTAAATGTATCTCATTGATCACCTTTTCCATCAATGCCTTGCATCGAGATTCCTCTATCTCCTGTTTAGACTTCCTAGGCTTTGGAAAAGGAACCTTAGGCTTGTAGATATTTTCTGTAGATAGTCGTAGAGTTTCAAGAGAATCTGGGTTTGTCTGTGAGGGGTGTCGATCGACACAGGGTAGGTGTCGATCGATACAGGGTTCTGCTGTCGATACCTTAGTGTCGATCGCGATAGATATCGGTCCGTCGGGGACCAAATTCACGAGAACTAGTGTAGGTGTTGATCAACACCCTGAGATGGTGTCGAGCGACACCTGCTGTGCAAGTACGGTTTCATCATCTTCACTTGTTTCCTCCTCCCAAACATCATCTCCATCCCTAATCAAAATGGCATTGCATCCTTCTCGTTTCTTTACAGTTCTAGTAGTCTGTGCAACCTTAACGTCCAACTTGTTGGTAAATGTGCTTAAAGCTTCTATCTTGCCATTTAGATAAGTATATAATGCATCCATCTTCCCGTTGAAATCCACTGTTATGTTCTGCTGAACCACTAGAATCTGTTCTAGCATGGATTTCATTTCAGTATCTGCAGATGGAGGAGGAGGCGATTGGTATGAAGAATTTCCATAGGTTCTAACGAAACTGTTGTTGCCTTTCTGACCATACCCATTGTCGTAACGGTTACCATGTGTGTTACCAAACTTCTGACCCAAATATCCAGCTCCACTGACGTAGTTCACGCCTTCTTCTTCATCCGCACCTGGTTCAACTTCCTCAACCTCAGCTGCAAACTTAACAGTCTTCTTGGAAACAAGAAGGTTATGCACAGAATCAAGCTTTGCCTTAACTTCAGCAAGTTGAACACCATCCATGTTTTGAGCTAGCTTCTTCCTCTCAAAATCAGCAACTTTAGTGCTGTTGCTGGTAGCTAAATTCTCTATCAGTTTGGTGGCTTGAGCTGGAGACCTTGTATTGTAGTTACCATTACTTGCAGCATCTAAAGCCATCTGATATCTCCAATCCAATCCTCTATAAAAGATTCCCAACAGCTGAAATTTGTCATAACCATGGTGTGGACAATCTCTCTGATACCCCTTAAAACGCACCCAAGCAGCCTTGAAAGCCTCTGAGATCCCTTGAGAAAAGGTAGAAATCTTTTTTTGCAGCTCCTTGGACCTCGCATCATCATAAAAGTTGTTCAAGAACTCAACCTTTACATCTTTCCAGCACGTAAAAGATGCAGGCTTCAACTCCTTGAGCTAGGATAGTGCTTCTCCAGCAAAGGAGTGCTGGAAAAGCTTGTAGAGCAGAAAATCTGAAGATACACTATCAGCCTTGATGCTAGATACCAAGTCTTCAAACTTCTCAATATGGTCCATTGGATGCTCATGAGTATGGCTATGGAACGGGTGTTGTCCTACAAGAGTGTCGTACCCAGGCTTCAACTCAAAGTTGTTCCTCTGAAATGCAGGAGGACGTATAGCAGAGCAGTTTGAATAGAACAGTGCAGGCCTGTTGTATTCTCCAAGTGTACGGTTCTCATCATCTGCTTCAGCATTCAACGCCAACGGCGACTGGTTCAGGAATTACAGTCCCGTCAGCATTCAGCTTTTGCCCTTGTGCATTTCTCACATGGCCATCTCCATCTCTGAGAGTACCCTCAGCATCTTGAATAAGAATCACTGGTGGTGCCATTGCTGCCATTTTCTTAGCTTTTCAAATTTCTCTTTCTAAACCCGCTAGTTTGGAATTGTTGAGATCAACAACAAATGAAATTAAAGATTGGTTTTAAAACAATAATGAGGAAACGCTAGGCGTAGGGATATTCTCAGGAAATTCAGAATTGCAAATAAATAATTGTCAGGATTTATAAAGCACCGTTCTTGAACTCAAATCACAAAAGTATAATCAATCAACTTTCGTTGCAAAGATTATCAATGTCTAGAACCCTAAATTCCAAATCTTTTTGCAAATTTATAAGTTCAGACATGCATTTAATTCAGGTTTGATAAGTTCACAAAATCTCTAAACCAAATCTCTTTGCGAATAGGTATTTTGCTCATCTAGATTATTTTTAGGAAATCAATAACACTTCTGTGTCTACCAATTAACCTAAGATCAGATTCTAGGTTGCTTTCACTACTCTAGAATAAATTAACCACAATCTAGATGAAGAACTCTATTGATTCAATCCTAACAATCTAACAACATAACAATTCATGAATTCCTTTGAAAACCCTAAACCTAACAAGAGATCTACTCAGACATGGTAAATGAAACAAACATCATGAATTAAAATAGATATCATAAACGAAAGTAATAGAAGAAGTAAAGGAGTTCTGAATCTTTTCTGAAGGAGGTTTTGATTCTTCTCTCCCAGCTCTCTACAAATCTCCCTCTCCAAAATAAAGCCTAAGTCTTAACAAAACCCTAAAAACTCAATATATATGTCTTAACCACGAACTAGGCTTAATTGCAAATAAGGGAAATTTCTCGGCCGAATCTGCAAATCTTCTGAACTTCAATTAAGTGTGAAATTTAATTGTCGTCAGATATTGGTGTCGATCGACACCAGAAGTTGTGACGCTCGACACTCACACCAAATATGCTCTCCCGGTACGTTCCTTCGGCACATCTTCTCCAAATGCTCCGAAATGCTCCAAAACGCTCCAATCCATGCCAAATAGTGGTTATATCATGAAATGGCTGCAAAAGACTCGAAAACACTATAAAATCTCTATAAATAAGACTTATATCATGGCCAAAAACCCGTAAAAACCATGATATATCAGTGGACACGACCGAGTGATCGGATTGTGAAGAAGAAGCGGACTCGACCAAGCTTGAAAAGGACCTGAACGAGCCCAACATTCACCCAAACGAGCTTGCCTCAAACCGACTTTGTAATTTGTCGTTTTGCGTTTTAGGGCTTCCAAAACTTAATATAAATAGAGACGTTGGGTCATTAAGAGAAAAAATCGAGTTTCATTAGGTTTTTCTCTGTAGCCACCAAACATTTACAGAAACTTGTAATCTTAATATCTTTTGAGCTATTGAGTTTTTAATGTTGATTCATTGTATTATCTTTCTCCTTAGATCATTATCTATCTAGTTACGCATGATTTAGAGATTTATGGGTTTGTGTTCTTGATGAAGAAATCCATATATGAGTAGTTTTCTAGGGTTTTGAGGATGGGATAGGTTAGTAAAGAATCTTAGTCTCTAGGGGTGTTTAAGCTTATATTTCAATATATCCCTTCTGGATTAGAGATTTAATAGCTAGTTTTTGCATTAACCATGATGGATTAGATCTTAGACAATTCAGCACCCAAAAAGTGTTTAATGGAATGTCTGATCCACTGATGTCATAGATCTACTTGCTTACCTAAAAGATTAGTTGTTTAAGGGTAGATTGACATTAATGAGCTTGATCTTTATGCTTATCTATTGCATGTTTCATCAATGAGAATTGAGATTAGGAAGTGCTTAAGATTTGATAATCTTTGCAAAGAGATTGGACTAATTAGGTTAAGTGGTTCATTGTCTAGGATTAGATATATTTAAGCATGTTAAGCACCCCAATGAGATTAAGACGATTCATTAACCCATTAACCCCATCCTTGAGACCTTTATTCATTTGATTGTTTACTTGCTTTTCATTTCTGCTTTAATACTGCTTCTGTAGTTCTTGCATGGTTAGCTTGTCATTAGTATTGTTCTTAGATCCTTAGTTTAATTCACTCATTTACTTTTATGCAATTGAATTGATGATCCAAACTGTTAATTGCTTGGCTTAACTTGATATCTTATGTTGCATCTTACTTGTTTACATCACACCCAAATTGGATCGACAAACCCTTTTGCATCACATATAGCCACTTGGCAGTCGCGAAAATTCGTGACTATAAGGTGATTTTGTAAAAAACAGCCACGAATTTTTTAATCTACGATGCTATAGCCACGAATTTTAAGGCACAACCACGAATAGCCAAGTGGTTATAGAGATTTTTTTCACTAAGAGCAGCTTGATTTCTATGATTCAGGGAAACAAATTTCATGGGCTGTCAATGGAAGACACTTTGGACCACCTCGATGAATTTGATAGGTTGTGTGGTCTAACTAAGATCAATGGTGTGAGGGAAGATGGGTTCAAAATCAGACTATTCCCGTTCGCCCTTGGGGATAAAGCTCATAAGTGGGAAAAGTCACTGCCCACGGGATCTATTACCACGTGGGAGGAGTGCAAGAAGGCGTTGGCTAAATTCTTCTACAACGTACGAACAGATCGTCTCTAGAATGAGATATCTAGCTTTGCCCAGAAGCACAACAAGATATTTTGTTAGGCTTGGGAGAGATTCAAGGGATATCAATCGCAATGTCCCCATCACGGGTTTAGGAACGAATCACTCCTAACTACATTATACCCAAGAATCTTGCCTAAGTTTAGGATGCTTCTTGATACAGCTAGTAATGAGGACTTTCTCAACAAGGATGTTGAAGCTGGTCGGGAACTCGAGGAGAAGCTAACTCAGTCTGATGGTACATACAATGAAGACTATGATAGAACCGTCCGAGGGAGCACCAACCAAGAGGACAAATATACGAGGGATATGAAGGCGCTTAATGAGAAGTTAGATAAGTTTTTGATGAACCAGCAGAAGAGTGTACACTTTGTTTAACAGGAGGAGCCCTTTCAACCTCAAGAAGGGGATTATGATAATAATGAAGAGGTGAGCTATATTCAGAATCAAGGAGGTTACCAAAAGGGTTACAACAACTACAAACCCAACCAAAATCTATCTTATAGGAGCACCAATGTTACGAACCCTCAAGATCAAGTCTACCCTCCATAACAAAAACAGTTTCCGAACAAGCCATTCGTTGGCTTTAATCAAAAACAGACTTTTGTGCCTCAACAATAGCACCAAGGTGCTTATTAAGAACTTATGGCACCTCCTCCAGAATTCCAACATCAATCTACTCAAGCACCTCTAGAACAGGACTTCTAGGGTATACTTCATCAGATTCTCCAAGGACAAGTAATAGCAATCTTGAGAATGCAAAGAAGTTTGCCGAGCTTCGTAATTATATCCCCACTTCTTGTAATGACTTAAACCAGAAGTTCGACGCTTAGAGCAACAATCTCACTTAGAAGGAAAACAGACCTCCACTTCTTTATGACAGCTACCAGGCAAGTCTGTCATGAATCCTAAGGAATTTGCTACTGCTAATGCAATTACTTTAAGGGAGTCATATATGAATATCGTTGAGGACAGTGAAGTCCAAGAAGGGGATGATTCAGTTCAAACAGATATCTCAAACAACTTAGACGAAGAACCCGATCAGGCAGGTATCAAATCTAATCGAGCTTACTATAGATTCGATCGAGTCTTATATGGATCCGATCATGTCTGCTATGGACCCGATCGTGTAAGCTGTGAGTATGATAAGATGCATGAACTAGCTTCCAACGAACGATTCCGACCAATCAGGGATACTAGTCCCGGTTCTTCATCATCTCGACGATCATTGCTCTATCCTGAAGAGTTCAAGACTGAGATTAAAGAAGAATACCTGACACGCTTACAAGGAATGACCAGTTGAAGGCCCTGGTTGATGCTTTTGCAAATACCCCCTCCTATAGAGAAATTCCAAAGGAATTTTTGCTCGAGCGGATGCAGTAGGAGAAAAGATGGGACTTACCCACTCAAGATCGTAGTTTTCCCAGAAAGATAGGAGATCCTGGAGCCTTCACACTATCTTGTTCAATCATATCGATAATCTTTAATGAATGCCTCTACTATTTAAGAGCCTCAATCAGCCTTATGCCTCTTTCGATAGCACAATGAATCGGATATACGATGTTTATGCCTTTTAGCCTAACGGTTGTTATGGCAGATAGGAGTTCGAGGCAGCCCGTAGGAGTGCTAAAAGATCTTCTAATAGAAATAGGTAAAGTAAAAATTCCTACTGATATCTTGATCTTGGAAATAGAAAGAGAACCGCAATATCAGTTAATCCTTGGAAGACGTTTCCTAGCTTCAGCAGGTATGGTGATTGACGTGGCCAAGGGAACCATGAGCCTCGATCTTGGATGAGGAACAAAGATGAAGATCACCATGGCATATCCATAACGAACTACGATAATCAGAACAAAAGAAACCTTGTCCTCCTCTCCCACCTACACGGAACTCCAAGCATCAAGACCCTTAAGATGGACCTGATGCGACTTGCAACCACCATTCATTAGATGGATAAGCAAGTTGTGGAATTGAAAAGGAGGAACCACATCCTAACTTCGAGAAAGGATAAGAAGGTTCTCAGTTTCAAAAGGAGGTATGCTTCGCGGAATAGGTGTCAAGTCCACTAGTCATTGTTTCTAGAGAGGATTACCGAGCCTCTCTACGGTTCTACCACGTCTTGAGATACATGCAAATTCAAGCTCAGTGACTTTAAACAAGCTCACTTGGGAGGAAGTCCCAATGGTATTCTTGTATATATTTATTTAAGTTTCTTTTGTTTTTGTTTGTTTGCATTTTGTTTAAAAGTGTGTTCAGATTTGATTGTGAGCAAGGGAAGGTGTTATTATGCTAGAATAGAAGAAAAGAAAGAGAAAAAGAGCCAAATGGGCCATAGAGGCCAAAACATAAGGCCCACTGGGTCGAGTCAACGACGCAACAGTCGAGTCAACATCACCCGATCGGGTTCAATTTCTACCGTCCGATCGTATTCAATATAAGTCCTCCGATCAGGTCAAAGGTAGCAACGGTCGGGTCAATGGTCAACCCGATTTGAAATTTGAAATTCATGACCAAACCCGACCAAACACGCTCCTCTCTTGCTTTTTGTCCCCTCTCACCCTCTATTTAAAGAACAAACTCGACCAAGGCTCTCACACTCTCTCATTTTGCAAAAATCTCACTTCTATCTCTAGATTTCTCTCTTCATTCTCTCTAGTTCATTGTTCTTCCTATTTTATGGGTTTGTTCTTGCTTTTGTTCTTGTTGTTTTTATTTTCTGTGTTGCTAACTTGCTAAAGTTAAGCTTTGAGTTCTTGATTCCCAGAAAAGTAGGATGGCTTCAAGAGAAGTTCAACCAAGAAAAAAATTCATTCAAGATCACAAAGGGAGGCCCATTGATAAGTCTGTATTTCATCGCGTTTTGGGCATGTATTCATCATCATTCATTTGTTGATTCGCATCATATTGATCACTTTCTGCATGTTTTACATACTTAGGAAGCTTTTATGCATATCATGCATGTCTTGCATACATTCTACATATTTGGAGTGTTTCAGCTACTTAGGAGACATGTAGAGCGAAGCAGAGGAACAAGCGTTACTCGACATACGAGAAATCGAGTGGGACGATCGAGTGAGAAGCAGAGATGCGTTGCAAAAACATACTTCACTCCGCGGACGTGATCGTGTAGGTGATCGAGTGGTGGATCGAGTAGGGGGACAGAGTGAACCAAAGTAATGCGAAACAGGATCAACCGTCACTCGACGCACACATTCGAGTGACAAGATCGAGCAAAGCAGAAAAGATGCTCACTCGAGATGCTCACTCGACCAATTTAGTTACAACAACTCTTAAACCGCCTCTTACTTTGTCGTTTTATGTTTTTAAGTTTTGCCCAAACTTTGCTATAAATAGGTCTCTTTTGGCATCGCCCAAGGGATCGAGTGTTTACCCTTAGGTTTTTCTTGTTATCTACCAAACAATCCAGAGAATTGTAATTGAGATTTCTTTTCAGTTATTGATATTTTGCAATTAGTTCTTGTTGTTACTCTTCCTGTCATCTTTATTATTATGCATGTTTTGAACGATTCTGGTTTCATGATGTTTAACATGATTTCTGTGTCTGAGTAGTGTTAGGGTTCTTGAGGATGGGATAGATTAGGTGGAGAATGTTAGTTTGCTAGAGTGTTTAAGTTAGATTCGTTTGTTCCCCCACCATGGCTTTCACCAAGGAGTCTCTCCTCAGTACTCTTTACCGGGGCGTTCTCCCAAAGATCCGGATGTTACTTGACACTGCCAGCAATGAAAACTTTCTGAACAAGGACGTCAACGATGGTCGGGAGCTTGTTGAGAAACTGTCCCAATCACATGGTAACTACAATGATAGAACCATCAGGGCAAGCACAGATCTTGATGAGAAGTACAAGAAGGAGATGAAAGCTATGAATGATAAGCTGGAAAAACTCTTGATGAGCTAGCAGAGGAACATTCATTTCGTCTCTGAAGAAGACCCTTACCAGATTATGGATGGGGAGGGAGAACAATCTAAGGAGATAAGCTATGTCCACAACCAAGGTGGATACAACAAGAGATACAACCCCTATAAACAGAATTCCAATATGTCTTATAGGAGCACCAATGTTGCGAATCCCCATGATCACATTTATCCACTTCCACAGCAGCAGCAGCAGGGGTAAAACAAACCATTTGTGCCCTACAACCAAGGTTATGTGCCCAAACAACAATTTCAGCAAGGTTACCACCCTCCAGCAGAACCACCACCAGGATTCCAACCTCAACACGCTCTACCTCCTTAGTCACCAGACCATGACATGAAAAAATGCTTCACCAACTCCTCGAGGGACAAGCAAGTGGCTCTATTAAAAATGCTAAGAAGTTTGCTGAACTGACTCAAAGATTGGAGTGCTCATACAATGATATGAATATGCAGATTGAGACTCTGAATTCCAAGATCAAGTATATGGAGGGTAAAACTGCTTCTACTTCTGCCCCAAAGCCTGGCCAACTCCCAGGAAAAGCTGTTCAGAATCCTAAGGAGTTTGCTCATGCTATCACGCTGAGGAGCGGTAAAAACTTGCCTCCCAGACAAGGATCTGTTGTAGTCACTACGATAGTGAAGACTTGGAAGGGGAGGATGTATATCAGAATGAAAATCTGGTTGTTCCTCTAGAAGAATCAGAAACCGTACCTGAAGAAGCTCCTCAACCTGCTGAGAAACATTCTGAAACACCTGCAGCCTCCAAGGATAAGCCTGTGAGATACGTTCCCCCACCATACAAACCACCTCTACCATTTCCAAGACGATTCAAAAAGCTGCAAGCTGAGACGTATAATGCTTTATTTGAAAAGCAAGTGAAGGAGATTGAGTTGAGAATGCCATTACTGGATGCATTCGCACTTGTCCCTCCTTATCAGGAGTTCCTCAAAGATTTGGTTATAGAGAGAGCAAAAGAAGTCCAAGGCATGGTGATATTGAGTCATGAATGCTGTGCTATTATTCAGAAGAAAATTACTGCCTTAAAGATTAAGGATCATGGATCCTTCACTCTACCCTGCTCACTAGGCCCCTATCATTCAGCAGATGTCTATGTGATCTTGGAGCGTCGGTGCGTCTGATGCCATTGTCTGTGGC